AGGAAGGAAGGAAGGAAGGAAGGAAGGAAGGAAGGACTGTTTAAAACTTGTTGATAACAAAGTGCATGCTCACTATTTTATTCTAAAAATGCATAAGCTGGCCAGGTATAGAGGCACACATATGCAATCCCAGTAACACAGGAGGCTGAGACAGGAAAACAAAAAGGGCTGGGGACATAGCTTAATAATAGTGTACCCCATAGTAGTAGAGTCCCCCTGGGTTCAATCCCTTGTGACACAAAACAATAAATAAAACAAAGTATATAAGCTGTTACCAAGTTTTTAAAATACTGAAATCCTCACAGATAAATTTTATTTCCTACTCCATGAAGGCTTAGTCTAGCACTAAAATGAATTTGGGGGAAAAGATCATTGGAACAAGCACTAATTTCTAGAATTAAGTCATTTAATAGGTAGACTCCAACTAAGTACATTTCATTTTAATTTAAGCCTAAGCAACTCAATAATTTATACAGTCAAAGAATGTCCTTAAGACTCAGTATTCATTTGTATTCCAAATCAGATCCCAAACATTTGTTTTTCGTGCGGGGACTGATGCCAAGGGCACTTTACCACTGACCTACATCCCAAGTCCTTTTTATTTTGAGACAAAGTCTCATTAAATTGATGAGGCTGGCCTCAAACTTGGAATCCTCCTCCTGCCTTAGCTCTCCAACCCCATCACTGAGATAAGTGGCATGTGCTACCATGCATAGCTATTAATTGCTTAACTGCATCCAAGGGAAAAAATAAAAATACTAATAAGCTAACCAACCAAGGTTTTTCCTTATATTGTTATTTCTATGTCTTATTCTGTTAGTCAGTTTACAGCTGTAATTTGCTTCTTTTAAAATAACAAGTAAGCAAATTACTAAAATATGTATAGATAACTATTAAAGAGTTTAAGGTCCAGTGGATCTTGTAGACTGACCATGTGGAGGACAAGGTACACACACCCCAAACCCTATACTCTATCAGAACAGCCAACACAAAGGGCTGTGAAGTGCCACCCACACTTTTCCTTGTCTATGATCGGGATAAAAGTGCTGTAATATTTAGACAGTTAAAAAATTTAAGGACTTACAGACATCAGTATCATTATGAATGCTACTAAAAAGATAAACATCTTCAGTTACTTTCAACCCACTCCTGACATCTTATTCAGAAAAAGCTGTATTATACAATCAAGCTATGGTACATATTTCAGTCCCAAAGTCACAAAAATTCAAGTGTAGGGCTTCCTGCGTCTTAAGCCAGTTCACTCATAGATATATACAATAATATCACAGAAAAAAGAAGCTACTATTTAACCATTTACACAAAGTTTTATTTCTATCTCTAAAACTGAAGCAACTTTAAAAAAAAAAAAATCTAGCCAGGCATAAGCACATGCCCATAATCCCAGCAACAACTCAGGAGGCTAAGGCAAGAGGACAGAGTTTTAGGCTAGCCTCAGCAACTTACTGAGATCCTGTCTCAAAGAAAAGAGAAAATTTCAAGTGTCGGGGAGGGGAGGCTGGGGATGTGCCTTGGTGGTTAAATGCCTCTAGATGTTCAATCTCTGGTACAAAAAAAACCAAAAACTCTGAAACTGCTACCTTTCTTCATGGAAATGTTTCCATTTTCAAATCACTATAAAGTTTAAAACTCTGAAAGATTTTCAATATTTTTTTCTATTTATGCTATTCCCTCCTCAGCACAAAATCATTTGTTATGTTCATTTTAAAACAAATTATTACTACACTAAGAAATATTAAATGATAGAAATTACAAAAATACACAAGCTTAGAAACTACTGATCTTTGTAAAAACTAACTTTTCTGGTTCAAAATTTTGAGGTTCAACACTGATACAGTAATGGGATTACAGGTCTGTGGTAGCACACACACGTAACCAGTATCTAGGAGGCTGAGGCAGGAGGATCTCAAGTTCACAGACAGCCTGGGCAACTTAGTGAGACCATCTCAAAATAAAATATAAAAAGGGCTTGGGATATAGTTCAGTAGAAGATCACCCTTAGTTTAAATCACCAGTACCATAACGGGGGGGAGGGGGGGGGAGGAGATACTACTAACATAAACATATGTAACAGTAGTGATCTATGGGGGAAAAGCAATTCATTATCACAGATCTCTAGGATTATTAGAAAATGTGACAACAGCTGTGTTATTTTATTCTCTTAAAGGCTAAAACAAAATGGATCCAAACTCTACAGCATTCTTTTTTAAAAAAGGCGGGGGGGCCTAAGTAATAAAAGCACATAGTCATACCTAAATCTAGACTTTTTAAATTTTTTCTTGGTTATTGAGACTGGAGGTTTTTCAGAATAATGCAAACGTAATCTTATTTCAGTCTGACATGTCAGCCACCCAGAATCCAGAGTTTCAACACCATCTGTCAAGAGTAAACAGAAAGAATAGTAATTATTTTAATGCTAGTTCAAATTCACATTTTAATACACTGAGGTTATAAAACACTGGCCTTGTCACACACCATCTCCAAAGTAAATACACTTGTAGCCTTAAATTTGTCATTAAAAAAGAACTTTTATATGATTGGGAGAATTTAAATGACTATTAACAATGAACTATTCTTTAACAACTTTAGTAAATTAAAGCCTTTTTATCAAATCCATTATTGAAGTAATCCATATCTACAATGAAAGAGAACATGTTCCAAAATGATTCCTAACATAGCAATTGTTCCATTAGGGATCATTACATTCCCAAAGTTCCATAAGAAACTTTTAGTTGAAACTACTTATGCCACTAGTCTGGGTTTGAGATATGAGAAGAACAAAACTTTTATAGTTTTATAGACTCCTATTTATATATCCTGCCATAAAAAGTCACACATTTGTAATAGTATTGTTTTAGCAATTTTTAACTTGAAGTTTATATATAATACAATTTTCATAAATAACAAAGAAGCTGTCAACTAGACCTAAGGTTTTTCATCAACAGAACTTTTAAAAGACATATATATATAAATATATATATGTGTGTGTGTGTGTGTGTAAATATATATATATATATGTACACACACACAAACACACACACACACATGTGTATACACACAAAAAACATCAGTGGACATTTCAAAATTCACTCTTACTTACTGTGGATTCCAAATTGTCCATCATCAATAATAATTTCATTTTCTAGAATTCAAGGAAAATAGAAGACATCGTTAAAATTCATAATGTTTAAAGAATGAACGACTGAGAAATTACCAACTTTAAGGACTGTTTAAAATATTGAAGTTTTTCTACAACTTAAAAGCAGCATAAAGTGAATAAGCATATTTATTGTAGCCCTCTATAAAGAATTCCCCTTTAAAGAGACTAACAAGTAGTACAGTTCTTATAGACTTTGTCATTATCCATGATAGCATAAGGAAGTGAAAGAAAACTCCACAGAGAGGTGCTCTAGAGGCACTGGGATGAACTTCTACACCCACCAATATACAAAACTAACAGGTTGCTGGACAATGGTAACTCCTTGTGAATTTTCAAAACAAAAGTCTTGGCACAATTAAAATGCTTATTCTTGTGCAGTGCATATTCTGAACTTGTCTAAAATGTAATTCTCCTCAAATCCCAACTATAATCTGTAGCCAGCTAAAAGCTTTACAAACAGTATAACTTACCTGCATATACAGAGCTGTGAGGAACTACCAAAAAAAGAATAAATGCTAGCATATCCCCTTCACCTAACATTCAAGTAAATGAGAAAAGCTTTGAGATCCAAGCCTCTAAATACTAATTGTCTTTCCCTCCTACTTCCCTTCCCATATTCATTTAAACATGAGTTTGAAATACTTGTTAAAGTATTACAGTTGCTAGTACAAATTTTCTGGTAGATTTCACACAGCTTGTAGGTTTAAAAATTATATAGAATATATTTCTTTCTAAAAGAGAAGAAACAAAATCATTTCACTTCTCACAATAAGACAATGTATTTAACTACAAGATGCTTCAAATGCAAATTACTTCTTAAAATGTTCAATACCTAGTAAGTTCCAACCTCAGTATGGGACTATTATAATTCTAAGTATACTACCATAAAGATTCTAATTTACACTATTAAAAGTGCAATAAAACACATAAAAAGAAAATCCAATAAAGAGGATGGAATGAGACATCTATTTAAACAAAATGTGTCCTGATATAAGGTAAAGCAGAAACTCCCACTCCTTATTAGTCTAAGCTAGTAAATTAGTAAATGAGTTATCATTCTTAGATTTTAACTTTGCCTAGGAACTGAAAGATACATTTTTCAGCAGTAAGTTAATATATAGATGAATACAAGTGGGTAACTTAATGTATGTAAAATGAACTTCAAATTCTATTTTCAGTATGGAAAAGGAAATTCAAAAATACTTGTATAATGAGAAATGCCATTTTTAGGCACAAGAAAGCTGAATAATGTTTAAAAAAAAAAAAAAAAACTCTTGGGATTACCACTTCCAAAGGCAGCAGGGAATTTAAATAAACTAGCAAGAATCTATGTCAACTACAAAGATATTTGAATTCACTCATACAAGTTTATCCAAGTATTTACTCATTTAAAAAAAGAATAATTTATTCTAGTACCTTTACTATTCAAAGCTAAAAGTTATGAAGTTTTTGTTTTGGATTAATTCATTCATCAAATGTTCTTTTACTAAGCCTGAGCAAGCAATCAAATAAATCCATGGATGCTCAGTCAAGAAGAATGTTATAAACTTCCTAACCCCTCAAAATGAAAGCAAGTATTTCACAATAAACTAATCTGACCCAAGAAAACAAAAATAACTAGGCAAGCATTTCTAATAAAATTTGTAAAGGCAATTAATAACTGTTTAGTTTTGAAAATAAGATTCATGAAATGCTAAGTGAAATTTGTAGTACTAACAATGCATTAACTTTAAACTTTAGAATAAAAATTTATTAACTCCCACTAAGCCATTGTGCAGCATATTAGTAACTTATGCATATGCCTCAAACAGATGCAGTTAATGCCCATACCTAAAGGGGTTATTGATCGTGGTTGTAGATGAGTCTCCCACTTGTGAACTATGACTTGACATGGACCACCGATAGTCTGCAATTTAAAAGTTAAACGTCTGCAATAATTTCTTATATCTTATTTTCTACCCATGACTCCATTAGATGTTTGTGGCCTAAATCTTATACTAAATATGAGACCAAGAGATTCATCTCGGTAATTATCAATATTATATGCCAAAATCAAGAATGTACCCAGGTTACAAAATATGATGTAATGCTGGAAAAAAAATAAGTTGAGGCAGTAAATAAAGAAAAATGAGATGAACTGGCACACAAAACTCTCTTAAACCCATTCGTAAATGAGCCTATAATACTCAATTTTTCCAAATAAATTTTCATTTTGATCTGATATTATTTCTGTCATAAGTTAATATTAAATATACTCTGGAATGTTGGCAAGCATAGGAACTGCCAGATAAAACATTCATCTCCCTCCTCTATTTAAGAAAGTGTTTGGAAAACACTTTAAACAAGACTACAATATGAGAAATAGTAGGAATGAGTACTTTGAGATCAATTATCACAAGTTACTCAAAGAATTAAAAGGCATAATAAAAGTTTTTCATTACATTTATTGAAGAACACTAAGTGGGAAATAATAAGAACATCAGATTTCTCATATCACTGTGACCAGTGTCTTTAAAGAAGATAGAAAACCCGCTAAAGAAAGGACACAGGGCAGGTAAACCTGAAGAACAAGTGTGATAATAGGGGAATTAATGTCCAAATTTAATTCTTATGCCTAAGAGTTTATAAATTCATACACTGTGACAATTCCTAATACTGTCTTCTGGTATCACATTCCTTTACTAAAAAAGAAAAAATAAAGCTGTATGTGTTAACATACAACAATTTTAAAGTATATTCAGTTTTCCTGAAAGACTGAAATTTTAAAGCATTGTAGTCTTTAATTAAGAATCTTAAATAATTAAATAATTAAGATTAAAATAAAGCTATTAAGTACACATTTTTCAAAAAATTTTTTAATTAAAATTTTAGTTGTAGATGGACACAATACCTTTATTTTATTTATTTTTATGTGGTGCCAAGGATCAAACCCAGTGCTTCATGCATGTAAGGCAAGTGCTCTACCACTGAGCCACAACCCCAGCCCCTTCAATACACATTTTAAAAGCAAAATTTCAAAACTTATCAAAATTCAAGATAATGTTATTTTTTATTTACATAAAGAAATTTAATTACATAATTATATAAAAATCTAGTAGCACATAATTTTGGGATAATCATTATCAATATTTTCATATAAACCTTTTGAGCTCTTTCCTAGGCATACACTAAAAATACTGGAACATATAGTTTCCATCTCTAGAGTGTACATCTTTAGATGATATCAAACACTCTTCTACATATCTTACTGGATTTTAATACTGATTGACTATATTTGATAAGTGTGCCAAATGATAACAAGTATGTAACAAATGAGGGACATTATTAATTAAACATAAATAACCAGGTTAAATTTTTTAAAATTTGCAACTTTTGAAGCTTAAAAACTACAACAGCATTATTCATTGAAATTGTTAATCCTAAAATAATAAATGAAACTATCTTTCTCTAGCTAAATACCTCCTTGCTGTAAGGGTTTATTTACAAATTGGTAGACTGAGTAGATTTAAAAAATAAAGTGTAATAATGTTAAGCTACTCATCTTAAAATGTGAATATCATTTCCATTATATTAAAAGAGGAAATACATGTATTTTCCTTCCACTAGATATTTTTTAATACAACTTCTTTCCTGCTATATATTTTAAATTTGTTTTTTAAACATTTAACTTTTAACCCATAAAAGAGAGAAACACATATACATTAAAAAATAGCAACAAAGCTAGGCTTGGTGGTGAATGCCTATAATTCCATCAACTCAGGAGGCTGAGGCAATTGATTAAAGTTCAAAGTCAGCCTCAACAACTCAGCCAGGCCTTAAGCAAGTATGCAAGACCCCATCTCAAAATAAAAAAGGAGTGGGGAGGCAGGTCAGTAATAAAGCACCCACAGATTCAATCCCAAGTATCAAAAAAAAAAAGGAACAATTTTTTTTACTAATGAAAAACAGCCAAAATGATCTATACCTTTCCTTCACCTCTCCCCCCAAATTATATGGGATTACATTCTCATAAAAATTACTAGATTTAATAGGCGTGCTGTTAATATGTCAACAGGAATAAAAATGTGAATACAGAAAAAGATTTTTTTCATTTTCTTTTAATTCAAGTGTCAGGAGAACATAAAATTCAGACTGGTCTATCACGTAAGGACAGTTCTGTGTATGTATTAAAATATTTGATAGGAAACTTATTTAGTAGCAACTTTAATATTCCCACTCATCTATTTTAGTAACAAACCCATCACTCATGCCATAAAATCACCTAGAAATAATGTGGTGTTAGAGGTTGAACTCAGGGCCTTGTGCATGCAAGGCAAGCACTCTAACAACTGAGCTATATCTTTAGCCCCAGAGCTGTTTTTCTGTTTGTTTATTTATTTTTTGCAGTTCCAGGAATCAAACCCAGGGCCTTGAGCATGCACTCAACCTCTAAGCTACATCCGCAGTTCTTGAATAGTGTGTCTGAGGGGTAGTCCATAGGTACAGCTCAACAGATGATTTTTAAGATGATGTTTACTTGCATTCACATTACAAATCCATGTTGGCTAGTATACAAAGTGATAATAACCAAAAAAAAAAAAAAAAAAGGAACCTACTCTTAAAATACATCTTAACTTCCAAAATATATTACTACTCTATTAAACTTGAGAAGCTTTACTGAAGTCCTTTGAAAAAATAAAAGCTAAACCCTAAATATTGGGAAATTCAAATTCTCAAACATGCCATTCTTTTTAATATACTAACTGTAATAATTCATTCGTCAACATTTTAGAAAACGAACAGTTCTATTCTGCAAAATACTGCAATGATTTTAAGTTTTCAGAGTAAGGTAGAAGGTGGATCTTTGGAAGAAAAAAGGAAGAATACCAGTCCAAGACAATAAAACAGTACTAATAGAGTTATTTCACATTTAGTATATCTAAAATCAGATGAATATAGGAATGTTTTTGAATATGTATGTTAACAAAAACATTTAAAAACATTTAAAATCAATTTGTTTCTGGGAAAAAAATCTTAATTATTGCTTTCTTAAACAGTGACATTACTTGGCTACATCAAGCACTGAGAAGGAAATAAGATTGTCCAACACATTGACTAGGGGTTTGTTTCTGAACAAACCAGTAAGCAAAATTATCAGTGAATTCTAGTACTATCACTGCAGATATGAACTTCCAACATTTTTACCACAATTTTGTATGTAAAAGAGGACTGAGTAATTTTTATTTATGAAGTCATACAGAAGCCAAACGCACTGCTATTTTAAAAAATCACTATTTTTTGTAAGACCAGTAAGAAAAATGGTCACTGATTAGAACTGAGGAAGCTAGGTCAACAGGTATCTCTAAGGTGGCTCAAATCTCAAGTGGATAGCTAGGAGCAGTTAGCACACAGAACTTCACTATAGTAAGAAACCATTTCACAAAATGACAACCTAAGCTATTTTAAAAATTAACAATTATCGACCTCTGACAGATGATTTTCTTGTTCAAGGATTTAAAGAAAAATCAAGGGAGATTAAGATCAAAATAAAAATTTATATTGAATCTAACTGAATGTTAGCACCTGTAAACATTAGAAATAGATGTGTTACTGAAACGTAAAGACCTACTTTCACACAAAAAAAAGAACAAAGCCTTCAAAGGATAATTAAAAACTGGCTAACATTTCACAGTGAGAAAACACCCCTAATTCTAGTTATCAGCAAAGAGGGGTGAACATGAATAAAGAAAAAATGTTTAAATTACATGCAAATTCAAAAGTATCTTTGGTGAAGATGTGACATTAATGGGACTGTAGACTCAAATGTTTTCATTCAGGAATACTCATTACTTTTATTTGCTAAGCTTAAGTAAGATAGTAGTTTGCCTTGTCACGTGTAAACTTATTTTAAGATTCAACATATCAACACGTCACTCTAATTTTACAAAATATAAAAATACATATCTGAGAAAAAAGGACTTCAGAGCTCAAATTCTAAACTAAAAGGAACATGCCAAAAAAAGCAAAGTATGGACGAGAAAATGTAAATGGTAAAATTTTATTTGCTCACAATAAAATTTTAGTAATGAAAGGAATCTAAGAAACCTGGAGTTCAAACCCTTCATTTTACAGCTGAAAGCAGCTAAACTATACAAGCCAAGTGACTTGTCCAAAAATAACAGATTTTTATCTTAGGTTCTACAACTGCCTAGTTAGAGTACCCCCTAAACTTTTGATCCAATAAAATTAATATTACTTCCCATAACAATTTTTTAATACTTTCATCATTGTTTTGCTTTCCTATCATTATTTATGATCATAAAAATATAATCCATTAATTTACATTTCTTGATTTAAGATTCCCTGCACATTACATTTATCATTTGACAATACACAATTAAGACAAACTTTGATAATACTTATAGTAAAAATGTTTTATTTAAAAAGTACCAGACTTATTTTAAAATAAGTATCACTTTAAGCCAGCATGTGGAAAAATAGCCATATACATGGGATTTTATGCAGCTATTTACTCTATTCCATGAAAAACATACTTACCATGGCAGCCCCTGCATCACACGGTACATGTGTACACGATACAGAGCAAGCACCTACTTAAAGAAACACACTCACCAACACATACTGTAAACTTTTGCAAGTATTACATGGGGATAAACTTGTGTTTTTTGTTTGTTATTTATTTGTTTGTTTTACTGTTCAGGAGACTTCTTGCCAATTTTTCAAAAAGGCATTTTGGACTGATTGCTATTTTGGTTACATTTTCAATGAAGTGTAGAAAATATTACAGGTTGGCTTAATTTTAACCTGTTGACAATAGTCTTACTTTAGAAAACTATGCCGAGGACTTATTGTGATTTTTCTTTTCCAAATTTTTTTTTTCTCTCTTTTCCAAATTCCAAGTAAAATTTAGTTGATTTACTATGATACAAAGCTAGATTTCACACACCAGGATTCTCAAACTTCCAAAGTCAGGAGTGTTGTGGCCTATGTAGCTAGATACAATAGTTCAATTTATACTGAAAATCTTCACCATGGTGTTGTGGCCCTATGCAAATAAATAATAGATGCTCTTTTCTTAGGTTGTTAAAGTGAGATCATTGTCAAGATAAGCCAACACAATGATCAACCATAATGTAATTTAAGTTCAATTACTTAGTATTTACAAAGTACTCAAAGTAATAGGTGCAAAAGACAGCTGAAATGGGGTTGTCAGTTTTCTTTCTTCTTTGTAATGGTGGCTAAGAAAATGAGGTAACAGTGACTACTTGCATTTTTCACATGTAGCAAAAGAATCTAATGACTCCCAAGGGAAATACTTTTTTAAAAAGATCTAATCTGTGTTTTTCCTAGATCCCTGCCTAAACTCTTGTTCACATGCAGCCTAAGAGTGTCAAAGGTAAAAATCTGAAGGAAAAGAATCCTTTCAGCAAATAAGTATCTGTAGACTAAGAGAAAAAGAATCAACTTTTATTCTTATCTAAATATGAAAACAATCCCAAAATAATAAATCACCGTGAAAAGGCAGATTGAGAATTAACAGATATCCCAAAGACTTTCAGGAAAGATCCTGGCCAATCAATACTACCTTGTAAAAAAAATCTAGGAGGAATCACTTCAATATTGATAGGAGTTAAATAACAGTCACTAAGAGATGACTGTGGGGAAATAATTTTTTAAAACAATTAACCATTTAAAGCTGGCTACGTGCTCCTCTTAATATATCTACATGGTATAAAATTTAAAAAAAAACAAAAAACAAAAACCTTTGTAACTGATTACTAACTTACAAAAGTTACCAAAAATGCAAACCTATAGAGAACATTCATCATTAAAACAAATTTCATGATAAGAATATTGCAGAAGATACTTACTATCAGTCTTTTAAAAATTCCATGGCAGACAACATCTGCCTCTGAAGTGGCTACTTACTTGGGTTTTGGTCTAAAATGTTATTGAGAACTCCATTCCTTATTTGACCAAAACAAACTCATTTTATTTTTAATGTTTTCAAAGTTAAGCTAGTTGCTTTTGAAATAAGCAAATAAAGAAATTGGAAACTAGATAAAGAAAACATACCTTTGGTTCTAAAAAGCACCCTCTGAAGTAGCGATATTGAACTGATATGCCTCTAGTGAGTTTAATGGTTGCTTTCCACAACATGCTGTAAAGGGGGAAAAAAAAAAATCAAAGCAGCATCAATATCAAACTAAAATTATACATAAACAACTCACAGTTCACAAAACCTCTCAGATACAGTATGTAGCCAATACCATCCATTTATTCCTACACAAAATTTAACACAGGCTTACTCTATAGCAGGTAACAGAAACACAGCAATACTGTAGGACAGCCCCATCTTTAAGGAGTTTGCTTTCCTATGTGGACAGACAAATAAATAAGCAAACAAAATACACTGCATGGTTTGTTTGTTTTTTTGGGGGGAGGGAGTACCAGGTATTGAACTCAGGGGCACGACACTGAGTCACATCCCCAATCCTATTTTATATTTTATTTAGAGACAGAGTCTCACTGAGTTGCTCAACATCTCACTGTTGATGAGGCTGGCTTTGAACTTTTGATCCTCCTGCCTGAGCCACTGGGGTTACAGGCAAGTGCCTTTGGAACAAAGGCCTCAGTGATGAAGAACTATCTGAACTGAATCTAAGTAATGCAAAGGTGAAAGCCTATATCACAATCTTCTTGCCTTTCTACTTAGCTTGGGATGTTACATGGTTGCTAAGAGGCTTTGGGCTGAAAGGCTTTAGGTCACAAGTAAGGAGAAAACACTGACAAGTTGCACTCATATTACTACTCAGGCTCTAGTTATTCCCAAGTCACCCACTTAGTATCTACTACTTGCTTCAACTCAATGTCTTCCTCTGAACTATGCTACAGCTGCCTCAACTGTGATTCATGATTTTAACTGATCTTGTAGCTTCAAATGAGGGACCACTGATATCCAAAGTGGAGTCCTGGGAGTATCAGTATCATCTGGAAACATGTTAGAAATGCAGATTCTCAGGACCCATCCAGACCTACTGAATTAGAAACTCACATTTTTTAATTGGTGAATTATAGTTGTACATAATGATGAGATTGTTATATATTCACACATGCACACAATATAATTTGGCCAAGATCACTCCCCAGCACTTCCCCACTCCCTTCCTGTCTTCCACCCACCTGGCCCCTTTCCTCTACTGATCTCTTTGATTTTCATGAGATTCCCCCTACCACACACCTTTCTCTTTTTCCTTTCCAGCTTCCAGATATGAAAGAATATATATGACACTTGAACTTCTGAGTTTGACTTGTTTTGCTTAATCACCTCTAGTTCCATTCATTTTTCTCTAAATGACATAATTTCATTTTTCTTTATGGCTGAACAAAAGTTCATTGTGTATATATACCACATTTTCTTTATCCATTCATCCACTGAGGACACCTAGGCAGATCCCATAGTTTGACTATTGTGAATTATGCTGCTATAAACATGGGTATGTATCACTGTAGTATAATGACTTTAAATTCTTTGATATATATATATATATATATACACACACACACACACACACACACACCAAGGAGTGGTATGGATGGGTCATATTTTTTGAGGAACCTCCATACTGGTTTTCCACAGTGTTTACAATCTCACCAATGTAAAAGTGTTCCTTTTTCTTCACACCCTCTTTAGCATGTATTATTTTTTGTATTCCTGATGACTGCCCTTCTGAGTGGTTTAGGATGAAATCTCAGTGTAATGAAGACTTGCATTGCACTTCCCTAACTGCCAATGATGTTAAACATTGTTTCATATTTTTTTGGTCATTTATATTTCTTCTTTTAAGAAGAATCTATTCAACTCATTTGTCCATTTATTAATAGGGTTATTTGGTTTTTTATGTAAAATTTTTTTATTTCTTTATTCTAGATATTAATCCTCTGTCAGAAGAGTAGCTAGCAAAGATTTTCTCCCATCCTGTACATTCTCTCTTCACATTCCCAATTGCTTCTTTTGCTGTGCAGGAACTTTTTAATTTGATGTCATCCCTCTTAACTCTTGGCACTATTTCCTGTGCTTTAGAGGTTCTTCTAGTCTGTATTTTAACAAGGTTCCTGGTGACTCTGATGAACACTTAAGGTTGAGAGCCACAGTCACAGACCATTACCTAATCATTAATTCAGCATGAGTAGTTCAGTGCATACAGCAGCTCCAAATGATTTTGTGTGTGTGCGCATGCACGTGTGTATGCCTATAAGTATGCCAGCCTACCTGCCAGCCTGCCTGCATAGGATCCACCCTGGGAGATTCTGACTTCATGAGTCTTTAGGTGGTACCTAGCCACACAGAACTTATAAAACTTTACAGGCCAATCAGATGTATATGGCCAGTTGCCTGTCACTGCTACAAAGAAAGGATAGCAAATGCTCTACATGGGTAAGCCTCAAAATCCTCTTCAACAGAGGGCTTCAGGTAGATTCATCAACTTATTTCTGCTGCTACTATATCTAAAAAAAGGCAAAAGAGGGAAGATTTCCAGGAATATCGCATGCAGCCAGCCAGAATATATAGAACTAGCTCCAGATGTGCACAGAAGAATTAGTGATAAGCTTTGAAAAATGTGCTGGTGCTCCTCTCCCATCCACTACCTCCCAGTATCCAGAAGCAGGATCTAGGCATGTATATCTTTTTAAAAGTGATTCTGTTGTGTTCCTCTGGTTAAGAATTACTAAATAAAGCAATGGAAAAATCAATACACCACATTTTTTTACTTTACTTCTTGAACAGAATGCTTCTTAAGTTAAAAAAATGAACCAGAACTGTTTCATGAGTTCAGTGAATTCAAGATTGAACATAATCTGATTAAATTTCAGGAAAAAGGGCAATGAAATTGAGTACAGGGTTGAAATGTGCTCCTATCCTCTCCTAAAGTGTCAATAAAATCATAAGTGACCCACATCTTCACCCTTCTTAGGAAACATTACTACAACCTTCAAATGATCTGTAAGTAGGATAAAAGTTCCAACAGAGCTCCACCTACCACCTGGCACCAAAAACTAGTAATAAGCTTAAAGAGAATGTGAACAAGAGGGACACAGGCCCTAGAGGTAGAGCACATTGAAATCCCAAAGATATGCCATACTTCTAAAATACAAAAAAATGTCATTTGGGGCTGGGGATTTGGCTCAAGTGGTAGCGCGCTCGCCTGGCATGTGTGCGGCCCCGGTTCGATCCTCAGCACCACATACAAAGATGTTGTGACCGCTGAAAACTAATAAATAAATGTTAAAAATTCTCTCTCTTAAAAAAAAAATGTCATTTGAAGGCAAGCAGATTCTCTTGTACTCTTGAAAAGCACTTCCTTTTTCCCTGTGAAGCACTCACAGTGTCTATCTGCTATATACGACTCCCCAAGACTTGGCTTTATTTTGGCATACATCGGCAATGTATAAATGGCTGGTCCCTTAAGGTTCGATTTTAAGGTTTAAGTATTGTGTCATTCGGTCCACGTCACTTTGACTAGGGTGGCTGAAATAATTCAAGACAAGCAGAAGTGTATTTTAGAGAAAAGTTTCAATGCAGACAGGAATAATTTATCTGAAAAATCAAAGAAAAAATGGCCACTTGAAAAAAATAAACACCTTGTCCCTCTGGGAGAGTCTAACAAGGAGTATATACCAATATCATCTACGAATAAAACTTATAAAACCTATAAAAACAGCTGAGGACCAGAAGGGAAAATGGATCACACGACTGACAAACAGGAAAAGGGATATTCTGTTGTGCTTCTGTTTTTCTTTCCTTGGCTCACAATATGGTACTGATTTACTTTTCTTTGTTGTTTTCCTAGATTTTGCCATCCGTGCTCCTCAAGCCACTACTGTAGAGGACCAGTTCTTGTCTGCTGATTTGTTTTATTCAATGTATCCAATGACCAATACTCCTCATCTACACATGTAGTTCAAATGAGATGAGCCTTAGATGATTTTTACAATGTACATTTCTGAATGCTTGCTCTCAATTTCTGCACTTTAAAATGTGGTATCAGTTCATATCACTGATTGAAAAAAAGTCCTTTGGATAGGTCTACCAGCCATATTTTTAGTAGCATTGCTTTATGGGAAAATTAATTTTGAGCCTAAGGAGTCTTAAATAATCACCTCACCTGATGTTTCTTTTTTATTTTTTGTTAATGAGGGTTAAATCCATAAAAGCTTTCTCACTAATATATCCCCTGCCCTTTTCATTTTCTGTTTTGTGACAGGGTCTCACTAAGTTGCTGAGGCTGGCCTTGAATTTGTAATCATCTTGCCTTGGCCTCTAGAGATGCTGGGATTCCAGGCAAGCACCACCACACTTGGCTTCCTTAGCTGGTATTTTTTATAGTGGCACTGGATGTATTTGTACACTATTTAAGACAACGCATAACACTTCCAAATATTGAGAAGTGGGATAAGGGCCACCTCTGTTGACTATCTACTAGTCTAACCCCTTTACTAGGTAGATGAGCTGAGACCTACAGACATTAGACTTGCCCAAGATTAGTTAACTGAATATTGGTGACACCCAGATTCCCCTTCACATAGTTCACTGCATCTGTGCTGTTTAGTGCTACATTCCTTTTTATTAGTTAAGATACCGAAGTGTGTGTTCCATTCTCTAATCTTTTTAATTAATATCTTGTATTTCTCAAGGATATAAATTTCATAGGTGAAAACAAAATTAATTGGATGTCTTATCTAGAACATGTACTGAGGGCTGAAGATATAGCTCAGGGGTAGAACGCATGTGAAGCCCTGGATTTGATCCCCAAAACTAAAAAAAGTTGAACTGAGAAACCAAAAAGACAATTTTGCTCTTTAGCAGTAGGTATCCAAAGAACCAGTCAAGAATTTTAAATGGTTTAGAAGAAAGAGATTGAGGAACAGAGAAACCAGTTTTTCACAAAAACTTTGTAAAACTATTTCACTCCTTAAATAGCATTCATGTAATATTCTGACATAAATTAAAGAAAAATTATACACTAGTATAAAATATATTAAAAGTATATTAAAGTATCTTAGTAGTTCCTCCATTTATAATGTGAATGTCACAATTACTCTGTAACCTGACATTGCCATGCTTACCTTTCACCAGTCTCGTTCTCTGGAAGAAGAGCCACAGCATTTTGTGGATTCCAGTTTCCCAAAGCATCATAACTTCCACATATCGCAAAAACTTCCCCTAAAGAAATACAAAAGTCTTTTCCTAAGCAGGAAAGTTTCAAATTTCAAGTTCAGGAAACAAGAAAAGAATGACCCTAGTTCAACTGGCTGTATGTTCTTTGGCCAAGATAGAAAAGCTTCACATGGAAACATGGGGAAGATCCAGAGACCCACTAGCACCTATATTTTATTTAACTTGACTCACCTCTCTAGAACCGAAGTCAGAGAAAATGGGAAGGCACACGGAAGAAATTCTCTTCATTTGTTCAACTTCGTACTGAGATAGTAACAAGCACTCAAGAATACAAAGTGATCAAGCCACAGTTACTGCCTTCAAGGCAGTTTCCAATCTAAAAAGGCAAACCCTAAATGCACGTAAGCCTTCTAAAGAAATATTAACCAATGTTTTCCAAGAATTCAAACAGTGACTATTAACTATTAATCAAGAACTTTATCAATGGGACAATAGCAAAACCCTCAAAACAAAGACATAGTGAAAAATTCAGTACTCCTCACTCAAATAATGACTATTTTTTCAACTGAATACTTCTCATCTATAGGTATGCCTGCATTTTACCAATTTTACTTTGTATTTCTGATTCCCTGGGAATACATTTCTGAAAAAAAAGGGAAACATTTTATTAAAAATGTTTTAATATCCACCTCTATCTTTAACTGGCCCTCATTTTTAAGAGAGTACAAAGATGTGAATGCTAACTAAAGAGAATTTGTAGAGGACTCCTCCCCCCCATACATATCCTTTTTACTTACTTGTTCCTTCCCTTTCACTTTTCTTTCTAATCATGCATCCCTGTACTCCCTACTCTCCACATTCAACAGTGATCATGCTGCAAAGAGGAAATCAAGGTGATGGGATGCTATGGAAGGTAGGAGTGGAGTCTTCCCATGTCTCTTCCCTAACCCTCTACTTCCTCCTTCCCACCTATAGAGTCAATAGGCACCATTATCTACTTCATTCTAGTCCCGGAGAATGTGTCCCCCCTCATAAAGCTGAAATTCTGTGGCCAGTCCATCTGCCTGACATGGCCAGCTCCTTCAAGCCAAAACTGCCTATTCACAACTCCCTTAAAGGGTATAATATAGCTCTTTTGTCTTCTCTCCAGGAGGCTACATACAGGACCAGAGGTGAGCACTTGGCCTTCTAAGAGTCAATAAGTCAGGTGACTAGCAATATTCAAACTGCAAAATCTACCCAGAGGTAGAGCTGTACCAGATTATCTTGACAACATGAACTTGAAAACACACACACACATACACACACACACACACACACACACACACACACACACACACTCTTTGCCAATTGCCATGAAGGTTGCTAGAATAAAGATGTTAGCTACAGAGTGAGTCACTAATTTATTCTTTGAATACATGTTTACTATACACCTAGTCTGTGCCAAGCACTATGCTAGGTGCAGGAATCTGACATAAACAAGTCCATGTTTTCACAGAGTTTACAATCTGCCCACAACAATGAAAAATTATTGAAGTAATTTTAATAAAATCTTTAGAATATGCTACAAAACAGTGCCAGACATTAAGAAAATTTTGCAGGGGTCCTCACCTTGTGGACTATGGAAGTTAGGAGTGGGGGTGGGGTGGGGACACAGAGTAGACATAGGAAACCATTTGAGAAAAACTCAAGAGGAAAGGAGAAGGAACATAGCAGATTTGAGGAACTGAAAGGTAGCCAGTATACTCAGTATTTTAAAGAGAGAAGTCCATAAACCGGGTGTAGCACTGTTTTGATATGCTATCTAAACTAAAATTAACTCATAGTACTTCTACAGACTACTCATAGTACTCATAGTACTTCTACAAAACTAAAAGATAATACAAGTATCCAAAGTTATTTTAGCTAAATATTTCACCAGCTTCTTGGACTAGCTAGCACAATTTCCCTCATTTTCATGTTAATTTAAAAATCACAGCCCAACCATTTTCCTTCTGTGTAAAATTAAATAAATCTACAGCTTTTCTCAAACATGAGAATGAGACACTTAGAGGAAGGTTTTCCCCTAAGCATTTACTCTCACAACACATTTCTGATAAGCAAGGCTATAGATATTTTCATCTAAAAATTAGGACCACTTTAATAACAACTCCATATTTAAATAATTTAGATAGGGAAAATGCTCATTTAATTTTAAAAATTGTTTTAAAGTAAAATGTACAATACCTGGTAAAAGATTTCCTCTTATTTCAAAGGTAACTTGAGAAGGTGTCATTTTGATGGATTTGTTTTAGGATGTCTTGCTAGGAAGAAAAAGAAAAGTTATTTACAGTACATTAAAATACTGGCATTAGACATTATCATCATGAAACAAGTAAAACCAAGAACTATGTTTACATTTTGTAAAAGAACATTTAATGTCTTTGCAGCTTTACATAGGGTTGTATATTCAAAGAAAAAAGGTCAAAAAGCAAAAAAATGAAAAATCAATCTCAACTATGACCAAAACATTAATTAATTTAGAGTCCTTATATACTACATTAATTGGGAAATACCTAACAAGATTTAAAGTAAAATTTACAACCTATTCTGTAAGAATGGACCCACCTGAAATATTGCTAAGAAAATTGTCCAAACTTAAGAAGAGTCAAGAGTTTCTTGCCACACATTCTCTTCTGATAAGCAGCTGTTCTGAATTCAACCTATCTTTCCTGACCAGATTCATGTTATTAGGGGGGTGGGGGGAATATAAATACAAAAAAGTTCGACTCAAGAGGATTTCTACTTCAATAAGGTGTGGAATGTAATTATTATTTATTATTATTATTATTATTAATTTATTATTATTTAAGATAATGAAGATTGAATCCAGGGATGCTTTCATGCTGAGCTATATCCTCAGACCTTTTTATTTTTTGAGTCAGTGTCTTGTGAAGCTGTTGAAGTTGACCTCAAATAGGTAATCCTCCTGTCTCAGCCTCCCTAGTTGCTGGGATTACAAACCACCCTGACCCCTGACCTGCTGACTTTAGTAACAAGGAAACAACCAAAAAAAAGTATCACTCACTGAAACTAACTAGTTTTTTTTCCCCCCTTTCTTTCCAGTAACACATTTTATGTCAACTAGAATATTCATCCTCACATTCCTGACTCTGAATCACTTTGATGATTTATAGAAATCTAAATCTCTAAGATTTTGAGATCTTTTACTGTTTTCACATTTTCTAATTTTTTCCTTCTTCCCTTTCTTGGTCAAATAAATCATCCCCTAACTTAAGTAACTTGAGGAAAGACAGGAAACAGCTTTAAATACATACATACATATTGATATCTAGATGTATAAACACACACACAAATAGTTACATAGTTTAAAACACATACTCTCCATAAGGACATATCATACTATAACTTCTAATACCTCCAAGACTTATAAATCCCAATCCATCAAAGTTCCTAAAAGAATTTCAATGTCTTTATTCTGCATCATTTCCATTAACTAATCACCTAAATTTCATTAACATTTATAGATTATAAAATAATCCTAAATTATTTTCATAGCTATTCATTCCTCTATTTCTTCTCTGCTTCCTTTCCCTCCCTCTGAACAAATGCATAACTCTACAAAGGTCATTTAATAAATATTGCTACCCAACAGTTAACAACATCAACGTATCTATTATCATTGGTTCTCACTAAAGGCAATTTTACACTCTAGGGAATATGGGTAATATCAGGAGGCATTTTTAGTTGTCACAACTGAGAGGGTTCTTCCTAATATTTAGTGGATAGAGGCCAAGGGTGCTGCTGAACACCCCACAGTGCACAGAATATCCCTCCGTGTAAATGTTCAGGTCCAAATATCAATAAGGCTGAAGTTCAGAAACCTGACCTATAATAGCTATAGAAATAGGATCAAGAGTCAGAGCTCCGGGCTGGGGATGTGGCTCAAGCGGTAGCAGCTCCCCTGGCATGCGTGCGTGCCCAGGTTCGATCCTCAGCACCACGTACAAAGATGTTGTATCCGCCAAAAAACTAAAAATATAAATAAATTCTCTTTCTCTCTCCTCTCTTTAAAAAAAAAAAAAAGAGTCAGAGCTCAATGTGAGCTACAAACTATATATCATCACATTTATATCAATTATAAAATGTAATACTAAAAATACACTTTATACTCTTATAATACTGGTGTCATGATGTACTTAGACAAAGAATTCCATATTTGATGACTCTACTATTTCAGTTAATAAATTCAAGACTGGAGAAAACTTGTCCTTGATCAAAATAATTTCCAAGATATGTCATTCTACTTTCTGTGTCTAAGAGTAAACACCATCAATTTAAAGTATATACATCCAATTCTGGAATTGTCAAAGAACATTCTCAAAATAAAGAGCTCTAGATTGTTACTCCCTCATTAATTTGTTATCTGAATACTTTAATAATTTAAGACGACATCTGATATTAATCTGAGTATAACCGTAAAAGTATATTTCTTTCTAATAAAATTGTTCACCGAAGCACTACAATCTTACATTTAACATACCTCTATCATATGAAGAAGAAACCTTAAGGCTAGCAAAAAAAAAATCTTGATTTTTAAGCAACTAATTTTGAGAGTATAAACCTCATCATCCAACAAAATGGCTAAATGGCCAACTTCAATCTTAAACTGTAACTTGTACTTTTTATTTTTTAGTTATTGGTGGACATAATATCTTTATTTTATTTTATGTGGTGCTGAGGACTGAAACTTAGTGCCTCAAGCATGCTAGGAGAGCACTCTACCTCTGAGCCACAACCACAGCCCTATAACTTGTACTTTAACAGGGTTTACTAACACAATTCTCAAACTAAGGACAATTTCATCTACATGATTACAGAGTTGATATATCACTGCTGACCAATTTTATTTTTTATTTTGGCTTTTTAAAAAATTTTTATTCTAATTTGTTATATATGACAGCAGAATGATTTACAGTTCATATTACACATATATAGTGAATCATTTTTCATATCTGGTTGTATATAAAGTACATTCACACCATATGTGTCTTCATACATGTACTTAGGGTAATGATGTCCATCTCATTCCACTATTTTTCCTACCCCAATGCCCCCTCCCCTCCTCTCCCTCCACTTTGCCCTATCTAGAGTTCATCTAATATTCCCTTACTCCCCCTCCCAACCCCACTATGAATCAGCCTCCTTATACCAAAGAAAACATTCGGCATTTGTTTTTTGGGGATTGGCTAAATTCGCTTAGCGTAATATTCTCTGACCAATTTTAAATAACCAATTCATCCAATAAGAGAAATCAGATATAGGGCTGGGGTTGTGGTTCGTTCAGCAGTACAGCTCTTGCCTAGCATGTTCAAGGCCCTGGGTTAAATCCTCAACACCAGATAAAAATAATTAAAAATAAAGGTATTGTGTCCAACTACAACTAAAAAATAAATTTTTTTTTAAAGAGAGAAATCAGATGTAACTATTTCTATATCTTAAAAACTGCCGGTAAAAAATTATCCCTAGATTTCTACTACATTAAAACCATCAGGAAAGGCTGCAAATCTAATAAAAGTGAAATAAATCAGCTGATTATTAAAATTGGGCTTTTCATTCCTAAAGTTGTTTTATAAAGTGTCTATAGTAACTTGGCAGTAAACAGTTGCAGTAAATGTACTATACAAAGTTATATATACAAGCACAAAATTGCCCCACCCCCAAAAACCCTCCCCAAAACTCAAAGCATCACCTTCCATTGAACTGACAAGTCAAATCAAGCAAAGTAGTTCAAATTTCCACTCTCCAAAAATAAATATCATCCCAACAAGAGAGAGAGAGCTGCTACCAGGGCAGTTTACTTGATTGTGAACAGAGGCCAAGATTCTGGTGCAGGGTTGAAGCATACAGTTTTGGCACCCAGCTATCACCAAAACAGCAATGACAAAGTAAAAAAAACGGATCTACTTCGGGACCACAAAATTTACACATCCACTGGTACTTCTTCCTCTCCCAAACAAACAAAACTATCCCAAAACAGAGGGGGAGGTCTTCCAGATAAACAGAAAAATAGAATAAGATTAAAAAAAAAAGCTAGTCACTGTATGCACTGAGCTGACTATGTAGATACTTTAAAACAATTCACTTATTACTTCACAAACTACATATACTTCCTGAGACAGGTTTTGGTTTGTTTGCTGAGTAAAAAAAAAAAAAAACAAAAACAAAACTGGGCTTTTAAAAGATAAACGGAAATCTCACCTGAGATTGAGTAGTGCTTAAAACTATTGAACATTTTTAAAACTTTAGCAAAATGATATTGCAATTAATTTAAATCTTTAAAAATTTCAGAGTTCACACTACCTGTCAAAATAAATTTTACTGTATTCTTTTTACCAAACAAACTTTCCCAACACTTGACTTTACCAGTTCACAAGCTTGGGAAACAAAAGATTTAAACAAACCAAGGTACAGGAACATTTAGTTTAGAGGTAAACTGAACTCAGATATTTTTTGCTAAAGAGTGTACGTCTGGCCAAAAAGAATCTGTTTTCTTTCCAAATTCTTCAAGAAAAAAGTTATTTCCAATTAGCCTTGCTCTTCTCTAGACTCCAGCAGCTGTGATCCTCTTAACTAGCTATAGTAAAGGAACATATGAAATCCCTAATCTGTTATTTTTGGTGGAGGATCATTATGATCCCACTTTTCTGACCTCTACATACTTTAACTCAATGTTTTAATCCAACACAATGTACATATTAATGGATTTTTATTTAGAAAGTATTTCTGAAGTAGATTTCATTAAGCTACATTAACTTTCTAAACAATGCAGTAACATTTTTTCCAAATGTTTTCCATTTCATTTTCTGATGTATATATTTCATATACTTTCATATACATGTGTATTGCATATGTATTTCATATACTTTAATGTTTGAGTTATACACAGAGTTTGATTCATCAACCTACTTTTTTTTAACATATCAAATTTTTATTCACTATGAGTTTGCTTTTGTGGTCATCATTTCTTTGAGCCCAGTTTTCCTGTCTTACTTTGCAGATTTAAATTTTGTATAGAACACTGTCTAGATCTTAAACCAGCAATGGACTGGGCTTTATGCAGTCTTACCTCGGTTGATTTTTGTGCTATTTGTATCTAGAGCACTAAAAATAGGAAAAAGACTGATGGCTTGTATTTTTTTCTTAGTTATGTAATAACTGTTAGAAATGTAGCAAATAGAAGCAGCAGCATTAAGAGGTAGAGTAAGTTGATAGGAGCATGGCAGAAACCGGGAGGGTGACAGAAAGGAGTGTGAAAACACCCTCAGATCCAAACATCCTGCTTTTGCTTGGTTTGATCAGTTCCTCTTTGCTGGTACTACAGACTCAACAGCTGCCTCAAGGTGAAACAAGTATCTACAATTCCTGCCAGATTTTCTTTGCAACTAGGCAGTGCGTGAGGGAGGAAGGGGCCAGAAGAAGCGCCTAACTCACGAGGCTTTTTTCGAAAAGTCAGGTTTGGGGAGATATGGAATAAGCAAAGCTTAAGAGAGGTGGAGGAGGACAGCAGCCTCAAAATTTTATCGAGGGCACTGATGACTATTCCTGGAATAGGAATATTCCTAGTGAAGAAAGGCACTGTGGTTCCTAGGAAGAACTTGACTTAAAAGCAAGCCCAAGACTTCTGGTCCATATCAAATGCTCACTCTGCTACTTTGGGGAGTTTTCTTTTGTGGTCACTATTTTTAGGCAATTGGGAGGGGAAAACAGTTGTCAAGACACTGTGAGTTACTTAGGGACACAGTGGTAGTGGGCAAAGGGACTGCTGTGGGAAAGGGGTATTCAGGGGACTTCTGTTGCATTTTGTGTATTTCTTTGTTCCTTAACTTAGTACTGTGTATATTCTTGGTGGTCCTACGCTCTATAAATTCTAGCCACATGTTTCAAAAGGGAACCAAGCACTGGACAGTCCCGGGGAACCGTGGTCGCGAACAAAAGCGGGTAATACTCCCACCCACCGACTTACCGCAGCGAACGTCAAGGCCGCCGAGGCTCCCGACGAGGCGCCCCGGCCGCAGCCGCGGGACCCAGCCAGCCCCTCGGCAGGGCGCCCCCAGCCCGGCCGCGTCCCGGGGCTGGGACTGCCCTGCCCCTTCGCCTGCCACGTGAGCAGCCGCAGCGGCCCGCACCTGGCGCCCGGCCCGCCAGCCTTACCTGCCGTGTCCCCGGGTCAGCGGTCCGCGGCACCGCCGCGCCGGAGAGCGAGGGCCGCAGGCTGAGGTGCCGGGCGCCCGCCGTCCACACCTCGCCAGCGCTCCTCCAGGCGAACCGCGGCAGCGCCGAGCGGTAGGAAGCGCCTCCGCTCAAACCGGTTTCAGCTGCTCCAGACCAAACGGCCAGGCCACCCCATGGGGCGGGGCCGGAGGGCGGCGAGGCGGGGCCTGACGTCACGCCCGGCGCTGTCCCGGCCAATCGGAGGCCGCGCGCCAGGGGCGGGCCCGCGCTTTCCTGGAAAGGGCCCGCGACGGCGGCCGAAGGTGGACGGGTATCCCCGGGTTCCCCGCGGATGGCTTACTACCCCTATCGGGGCTGGTAAACGCGCTTGCAGAGGTTCCGCAAGCTCAGGCCGCGTTCATCAAGGACTAAGAGCCGAGGCTGAAGCGGCAATTCTTCCACGTTTGAAAGTGAGGGAGATAAGAAGGCTTGATGTTACTTAGAAACTTTCATTCAGTTGCAAAGCAGTCACTTTGGGATCAAATCATTAAAGTTGAAGGTAAAGATCAGGAAACCTAAAATGGTTCAGAGTTGATCCTTTGCCATTCAAAATATAGTCTACAGGCCCGTAGCATCAAGAGACAGCACTCACCTAATCCCAGACCTGCCTAACCGAACCTGCATTCAACAACACCCCGAGGCTATTTGTATGCCAAGGAAAGTATGAAGGAACTTTTCTAAAAGTAGAAAGACCCTTTCTGAGGAAATTGTTGTCTCTTATGTTCTAAAAATAAACCCTATTTAAAAAAAAACTTTTCCCTCTCCTTTGATGGTCCTCAAAAAATTAATCAGTATTAATCAAACTGCTACCAGCGTCAGGGTTAACCTTTGCTTAACTTCAAGTAAAATTATGTTAACATTTAAATTTAGTGAAATACTGATAACATCTCCCACATTTTGGGGAGATGTTATCTTCAGTAAAAGATAGTTGTAGTTACAAGTTGATTCAAATGGGCCTTCTAAAAAGGTATTTGGCTTAAAAAAACAAACACAAAAACTCTTGCTTGCTATAGACACAGCTTCTAGTCTTATAAATCAGATTGTTTATGGCCACATTTGATATTTGAACTTGGATTAGATCCCAGGACATTTCTGACAAAGTCATTCAGTTATTAAATAATTAATGGGTGCTTGCTTTTTGCTGGGCACAAGATACAATGTTTTTTCATTTTTTATTGCACTCATTTTAATCCCAAATTTCTTGAAGAATTAAACTTCCCTCCTATTATACACCTTTATTTGTTAAAGTCTGCTGCTTTCACTGTCCTTAGATAACTTGGAATCAATTTCATTCCTCTGCTGTTAGTCATATTTAAGTGATGAATTTTTTCATATATTTGCTTCCTTTAAGTGTTTATAGATCTTTATTTTCCTGTGCTCACCATTTGGTCAAGTTATTTTTTTAGTCAAGCTATTATTTGCCTAATTGTTTATAGTTCAATGATAGACCTAAACCATATTCCTTCCTTAAATCCTCTTGAAATAACAATTACAGTTGGCCCTACATATATGCATATTCAACTACTCACAGATCAAAAATATTCAGGAAAAAAAGTTGCATTTTCTTTTCATTATTTCCTAAGTAACAGAGTATACAAAATTTGCCTTGTATTGAGTACATCATCTATAAGTAACTTAGAGATGATTTAAATATAAAAGATGTAGAAGATATGCAGAAATTAGACTAAAACAGTTAAATTTATATAAGGGACTTACTTAATCATTTTATTATCCCAAGAAGTCCTGGAAACAATCCCCTATGGATATGGAGGGACAACTGTATACACATTTTGAAAAATATCCTAAGGGCTGGGATGTGGCTCAGCTGAAGAGCACTTGCCTAGCTTATGCAAGGTCCTGGATTCAACCCCCAATCCTGCAACAACTACAATAACAAAAATCCCCTGACTGGGCAAAAAATTAAGGAATTTCTAAAAGATATGAAACAAGCCAATAGCATTAGATGATTAACATAGAATGTGGACCTACACAGGGAAAAAAGGGATTCCTGGAGATGCTATTTTGCAGTCTTGCTTACAAACTGTTATAGAACATATTTTAGATTATGCTGTTTATTTGGTTATGATTGAGATATTGAAGTAGAACATAAATAACATATTTCTTTCTCTTGCCACTTCTGTGGAAGATTGTAATTTTCTAGACACATGGTTGATGAGATTAATTTAAGTCTTACCTCACTGTTTCCAAAAGAGCTGCAGCTGAAATTAGAACTGCAAGATTAGGAGCCAGACCCCCTATCTTGTCTTCTATTTTACCTGTCTCTGACATTTTATTTTATTTTATTTTTTACTACTACGTCATTTTGTCTGTGACATTTTAAATAAAATCTTTGGTAAATTTTACTGCCATTGATAAATTTTGACAGAAAAATCTGGTGAGCCCATTTAATTTCTTAATTAGGTTATCTAGAATAAATGGTTATGTCTTCTAGATATGTTCCATTTTATTTTCTGAAATTACTTTTATTAGGTTTAATATTTTCATATGCATTTTACCTTTCATGTGTATTTTACCACAGAAAATTACTTTTATGTTCATACCATTATTTTTTTAAACAAACCACCAACTATAGCTTCTTCCACTGTGAGTTTCTTTTTGTGGCCATTATTTTACTGAGTTTAATTTTGCAAACATGTATTTTTTTCACAAAGTATTGATTCTTTCAATAATGTTTACATAACAGCACATTTTTATCTTGGCAATTTTAGCTATTATCAGTTTTGTTGTTCTGATCTTCTCCCAGAAACATTCATCATGACTAGATAAAACACTCACTGCTGATACTTACCTCTTGCCCAATCTATGAAATATTGTGAGTATTCCTCCAGTATTCCAGTTGCTCCACTATCAGACTCAAATGCTATCACTTTTGTGTTTTGTGCAACTCACTGATAGCCCTGTACTTCAAAAAGCCTTTCCGTGGAATTCAGGGATTTATTTCCTGTTTGCCATCATAGATAATTCCCCAACTTATAATATGCACTGCTTATGCTTCATGAACGTGATAAAATGCTAGTGCTAACTATTGATTGTTCTTTCATATAAAGATCACTCCCACACAGAGGAAATCGAAATAACTTCTGGGTTCCAAAGCAATTCAGGTGACTTAAAGGTAAGCCTTCAAGTCAGGTGTAGTGGCATATGCCTGAATTCCCAGAAAATTGAAAGGCTGAGGCAGAAGGATCACAAATTCAAGGTCAGTCTGAGCAATTTATCAAGACCTGTCTCAAAATAAAATAAAAAGGGCTGGGGATGTAGCTCAGTGGTAAAGCACCTCTAGGTTTGCTCCCCAATACCAAAAATAAAAATAAAAACCTGAACCATAAAACCAATTTCAAACTGGCTACAGCTTTTTCCCATGTTGCTTTCAGAGTTCTCAAATTCACTTTAGGTTCATTTTATTGTATTTTGATACTTAAGGGGTGCTTAACCTTTGAGCCACATCCCCTGTGTCCTTTTTATTTTTTGTTTTGAGCGAGGGTCTCACTAAGTTGCTTAGGGCCTCACTAAATTGCTGAGACTGGCCTTGAACTTGGTATCCTTCTGCCTCAGGCTTCCAAGTTCTGAGGATTACAGGCCTGGGCCACTGAACCTGGCCCATTATAGATTTAAAATCTTTGAAGCAAGAAAGGTTCAAATGGCAAGATCAATTGTCATCCTTGATTCATTTCCTCTCCAGTTAACTGTAAATTCAGGCACCACAGGATTTTTCAGATGAAGGTTGAAAAGGCACTCGGCAGCCACCTAGCACAGTGCCTGCTCCTCCATAATGCTGAGGTCCCTTCCAGGTTTCACTAAACCTCCCTTCCATGAAGGAATTGTTCTAGGGCAGAGTCTTGCCACAAAACTGAAGCAGAGCTGGGTGCAGTGGGGCACACCTGTAATCCCAGTGGCTGGGGAGATTGAGACAGGAGGATCACAGTTCAAAGCCAGCCTCAGCAACAGCTGGGGCACTAAGCAACTCAGTGAGACCCTGCCTCTAAATAAAATACAAAATAGCACTGGGGAGGTGGCTCAGTGGTCGAGTGCTCCTGAGTTCAATCCCTGTTACCAAAAAAGAAAGAAAACTCATGCAGAAATGAAGACCCCCCTCTTCACCCTAGTTCTTGTGTTCATGCCAGAAATATTTCAGACATGTGGCTAAGAGGAGTAAGCATGAGTTTATTGAAGGGATAGAAAAAGAAAAAAGGGGACACTCTCAAGAGAGAGAGTGGGTCCTCTCAGAAAGGAAAAGGGCTGCATGCCTCTCCTGCCCTCTGGTTTTATTAGGGTCTATACTAGTGTTCTCTAGAGGAACAGAACCAACAGGAGGTATGATTATGAAAAGGGGATTTGTTAGATTGACTTACACAGTCAGAGGCCGGATATTCCGCAATGGCTTTCTGGAGGCTGGAGAGCTGGAGGAACCAGCAGCGGCACAGTCCAAGATGCTGAACCTCAGAACAAGAAGAATCAGCGATGCTACCCCAGTCTGTGACTGAAGGCTTCTGGAAAGTCCCTGAAAAATCACTGGCAGAGTCTACTTTGGAAGAGTGAATGAAAGTCTGATGTCCTCAGGGAATCACGGCAGCAATCAAGAAGAACCAAGCTTCCATCTGCTGCTGCTTCCTAATTCTTCCAACTTTTATTCCGTTTAAGCCTCCAACCTCCTGGGTGGTGCTGCCCACACTTAGGGAGGGTCAACACTTCAGTTTGCTATCCCACATGCCAATCATTCCTAGACACACCCTTACTGACTTATCCAGAAGCCTCTTAATCTTCTGCATCTCTTAATCCAATCAAGTTGGCTGGTCAAGTTGACCATCATAGAGTCCCAAGGAACTTTCCAGAGAGTTCTGCTCAGGTCCACCTTTTGGCTCACAGCAAAATGATATCAAATTGGGGCTGGGGATGTGGCTCAAGCGGTAGCGCACTTGCCTGGCATGCGTGCAGCCCGAGTTCGATCCTCAGCACCACGTATTAACAAAGATGTTGTGTTCACCAAAAAACTAAGAAATAAATATTTTTAAAAAAATGATATCAAATTTTCAAGTCCCCACTGTGCATGGCAGTTCTAGGTCAGTTTGACCCATGCTGATCAGTTCTAATTGGAATCTTATTTGTGGTGGTGGCTTGTTTTGTTTTTTGTTTGGTT